AGAAATATTTTTGTACATATAGGTTCTTTTCCTTCTTCTTTAATATCTTTAGGTTACATTCCTAATAGTGATGTATTGCAGGATCAAAGAGTATGCCCAGTTTTATAGCCCTTCGGGCCTAGTTCGAGGTTGTTCTCCATAATGGTTGAACAAGTTTGCTATTGTACCAGCAATTCATTAATGCACCTATTTTCCCTCATCCCTTCCAGCAATTGTCATTTCTGATAGGTGTGAGGTAGTACTTCAGAGTTGTTTTAATTTGCCTTTCTCTAATGAATAGTGATTTAGGTAATTTTTTCATATGACTATAGATAGCTTTGATTTCTTTTTCTGAAAACTGCCTGTTCGTGTCCTTTGACCATTTATTAATTGGGGAATGGCTTTTATTTTTATAAATTTGACTCAGTTCTCTACTCAGTATGTGTTTGAGAAATGAATCCTTTGTCAGAGAAACTTGCTGTAAAAATTTTTTATATTGCTTCATTGTCTGTGGTATCTTTTAGCAAAATGTAATTTCCCTGATTATCTCTTTCAGTTAAGGTCTATTTTTGCTTTTGATTTGTCTGAGATTGTGATTGTCGCCCTAATGGGCTGTCTTTTTGCAAGTGGTATTTAACAGCAGATCATGTTGATGAAGACTGTCTCTGGCCAGTGCCATTGTCAGACAGATTATTGTTTCTATCAGGAGGTGACTGAGGTAGAAGAAACCCTTAAAGCAGATTCAGAGCCAAGGGGAGTAAAGAAATTACTGTGATCAGTACAGAAGACATCTCATCAAAAACATCACTGACAATTACACTGTGGTGCAGTATGCCAATGAGCTTTACGATTTCATCCTGAAGATGTGGGTGTATAACATTGACCCACTCCCCCTCACCCTCAGACATTCCTCCAAATTCACTTGAAGAAAAATGAGACCTTGGTGCTCCAAGATAAAGATTATTTCCTTATGGTGGTCAAGAATCCAAGAGAATAATCTATTTTCGTGGTACCAGTTTTCCCCCTTCAATTTAATTGCCCCATGTAAAAGCATTAGTGTTAATTTTCTTTTGCCACCAAATTTTTGTGGACTACTTCCAACCATATTTGCAAAGATAATGTGATCCAAGGTGAATTTTCTTATCCTTTCATCTACTATCTTGAATCTTCAGTGGCTGGAATTGGAACCCTCAGCTATCAGTAAGACTCTCCTTTGAAATGAAGTTTGACGGACTGGGAATGTGCCAGATAGGACCTAACAGTCCTGTGCCTCACACATACCTCAACTCCCTTTTACCAGGCGAGTCCTACTTGGCTGTACTGCCCTAATCAGGAATCCAGGTGCACATGAAACCCCAAATAGTGCTTTTGGCTTCTTGTTTAAATCTTTTTCTTTTTCTTTTCTTTTTTTAACTTTGAAAGCCTGTCTTAACTTTAATTAGATTAAAGGAAACAAACAAAATGAACTATCTTTTTTTAAAATGAATCATATCTTTACCATGCCCCAATTAAGTGAAAGGTATAGTAAATATAAAATGTCATTGTGGTTATTGTTTGTTGATTACAAAATTTTGTTTGTATGATGAGATTGTGCTTTATATAGGCTCCTTTATTTAATCTTTAGGGAAAAAAATTATTCTGAACTTAAGCTCCAAAAAAAGTGAACATTTCCCCAGAACACAAAAATGATTCTTTATGATACTGAAAATCTTTTCAGAACACTTTAAAAAAGTATATAATAATTTCTACGTGTTATTTTAAAAACTATCCTGCTTCTTTGTGCTTCCTTCTGCTTTCTTTTGTGAAGCATTCAAAAAATGTTGATGATGACCTTTTTCATTTGGTAAGACTATTGGTAACCCACCCTATCCCCTGACTAATACCTCCCATGCCCATTAAAAACCCAGAGAAAGAAAGAAGGGGAAAAAACCCCTTGCAACAAGGAAAGTCAGGCAAAACAAATCTTTTCAGTGGCTATGTCCAGAAATAAAGGCCTTTGCTTTTGTGTTCATCACTTTGTCGGGAGAATGAGTAACATGTTTCATCAGAGGTCCTCTAGAGGCTTGATTGGTTATGGCATTGATGAGAGTCCTCAAAGAAACCATTGGTTGGGAGAAAATCTTTGTTATCACATAGGTCTAATGAAGTCCCCAATATCCAAAATATGTGGCTAATTAACACAAATATGCAAGAGCTATTCCCCATTGGATAAGTGGTCAGAGGGCAGTAACAAATATTTTAATCAATTAACAAGGATTTATTAAATGTTTCTAGTGCCTGTAAGGGTGCTGGGAATAGAAAACTAAAACAGTGAAAATAGTTGCTGTCTTTAAGTAGCTTAAGTTCTCTCTGGGGAAATAATGAGTGAGTGTATGTAAGTATTTTATTCATATGTATCATGTATGTGTCTGTGTGTGTGTATGTACATACATATATACACAAAGTAAATAGTAAGAAATGTCAGGGGAAGCACTAAAAACTAAAGGGATCAGGAAAGGCTTCATGTTGGAGCTTTTGTTGCTTGAGCTGAGCTTTGAAGGATGATAAGAATTCTAAGATGATGATAAGGTTAAAGAATTGTAAACTATTAACCACATTAAAGATTGCTTGAATTACTGGCAAATTAAAACAGGTTTTACCTCACACCAAACAAATTAGTAAAGATGACAAAGGCTGTAAATAGTCAGCAAAGACTAAGGGGAGACAAGTATACTTATATAGTAGGTGTGCAATACTCTGTTGGTAGAGCTCAGAATTGGTCCAGCCATTCAGGAAAGCAATTTGGAATTGTGAAAAAAGTGACTAAATTATCTATACTCTTTGATCCAAAGATCCCACTGCTAAACACATAATTTAAGCTAAATATTTAATCCAAAACAAACAAAAGGTCATATGTAGATAAAAGTGATCATAGCAACGGTTTCTGTGATAGCAAAGAAGTGGAAATAAAGTAGGTACGCAGTTAATTGGAATATTATTGTGCTCTAAGATTGAAGGATTCAGGGAAGCATGGGAAGACTTATTTGAGTTGATACAGAGTGAAACAAGCAGGAAAACAGTATGCACAAAGATTGTAACAGTGCAAATGGAAAGAAATAAAAGACTCCTGAAACTGCAAACTGTGTAATTGTAATGACAAATTTTGGCTCTGGAGACTCACTCTTGGGCTTTTTATCACACACAAGGATAGTTCCCCAACTGGCCACAGCATTTTGTAAATTTTTAAAAAATTAATGTCTTTTATTTTTATATCATACTCATTTATTAACATATGCCACCACACAACAGTATTTAAAAAGAAGAAAACCCCAGCGATTTGGCAAAAGTAGCCCTAAAAATCAACCAAATGACAGTATGTATAATATTCCACCTATCATCTCTCCACTTCTACATTGATAGAGGGGAGATGGCATGTATTTGGAAATGAATATGATATAAAAACAAAAGGCATCAACATAAAAGATTTTTAAAATGCTATGGCCATCTGGTAATCTGCTTTTGTGTGTGATATGTGGTCCTGAAGTGAAATAATTTTCTTTGAGTCAGTATCTACTGTGTGGTGGCTGGTGTTAGAGTTGCTTGTCCTTTTATTTGGTGTTAGAAGTCATTAGATGCTTGTCTGGATCTCTTTCCTAGTTCTCAAAATAGATTCTGAAGGCCTTTCCAGCTGAGCCTCTACACATAATACTGGAGCTGTAGGGTAGGCTAGTGGCAGAATTTCTGAGTGCTAGCTAGAGGTGGTGAGAAATATGTCTAAGTAGGCTAACTTTTAAAAAAAAAAATTAGACTTTTCCCCCGGCTCAGTCTCCTAATAGGGTAAAGCCTGAACCACTTTGATTAAGGGTGAAAGGAGTAGATGTGAAGAATAACACATGTAAATGACTTTGAAGCATTTTATTGACTGGGAATGTATAGGACAATTTTTCTGCTTCCCTTTTGAAAAAAAATTTTTTTAGTTTTTTTCTGTTGAAGGGTGCTTATCTTATAGGAATTTGCTGCTTTGTTCAATTTTTTGAGTCTAGTTGAGACCTAGGTCACCTGGCAAGATCTGGTTCTTGGCTTTGAAACTGGAAGCAGAAAAGTTTTTCTCTAGCAGATGAGTTTGTTATTCTCTAGAGATGAGTTTGGATACTGCTTCTACTGTTGGCATTACCCAATTCAAGTAGTTACCCCAGCATAGTCATTTTCTTCATGTAAGGCCAAGGGGAAACTTAGTTCTGTTTGATACACAGCCCTCTGAAGTACTGTACTGGAAGGGTTTGGCTTGGGTGGGTCATGTCAGTTGTATCACTGATCCAACTCCATACTCTGTGTTACTAAGATCTTTTCTTTAACTATTCACAGAGTAGTTAGAGAGAATTTTAGGTCTCCAAAGGGGAAAAAAACTTCATGGTTATCACACAGAAGTTCTGATCAGTTCTTTCTAAGGACACTAGCAAGTCTGATTCCTCCTTTCTGTTCTCTCTGGGACTGTCTTTGCTGTTTTGATCTTTGGAATTTGTCTTAATGCATATGATCTTCTAATCCTAATTGGGTAAAACTTCTGGATTTTCTCATGTCCTAATCTTATTAGACACTGAACTCTGTAAAAATTTTATTTTTTAGCTAGACTAATTTCTCTGACATTTGTGTGGTTTTGTTTGTTGTTTTGGTCATCAGTGAGGGTATCAGATTCATAATGGCTTATTAGTTCTTTATGGCTGAGTATTAAGTAAGGATTCTTGATTCTAACTGTACTAGGTAACTTTGATTAAATCGATTTTCCTTCTTTCTCTCTGAATTGATGAAATGATGACTGCAGTGGAGCACAAAACTAGTTTTTTTCTAAAGTTCTCTGAGATCTTATTGATGACTAAAATAAAAAGGTAATGTTAATGCTGTGGTCAAGTATCTGAGAGATGGATGTGTTGTGTGCACTGCTTCAGCTGGGTGGTATCTAACATAGTAAGTAAGTGGTTTTTCTAAACACTTAATTCTAGTTTGAAGAAGTATTTTTATGCATATTTTAATTTTATTTGCAGGTATATGAGTGGCCCAAGGCTTCCAAACATTAAAAGACAGAATCAACTGGGAGCAGGGCAAGGATGCCGATTCCGCCACCTCCTCCTCCACCTCCACCTGGTCCACCTCCACCCCCCACTTTTAACCAGGTAGCATTCTGTCCACTAGAGCATTAGACTCAAAATCAGAGTGCTGTTTTAAGTGTCTCTTATTAATCTGCTTGTACAGCTGCTAAGTATTTTGTTTCTCTTCACAAATTCTTGTTAGACATTTATTCATTCAGATCATTCCTTCAGAAATACTTATTAAGCACCTATTCTATGAATACCTATTAGATCTGAGGTCTTTTCACTCATTGAGCTTCAGTTTAATAGAGGCATAAGACATAACCACAGATAATGAAGACATATAGCGCTCTGTGGTAAACATACTGGAGAATGGTAAAACAAAGTACTATGTGAATTCATTGTTTAAGTGACTTTATTGAGAAAAGCTTCATGTAGTAGGTAGCATTTGAGTTTAAAGCTTTAAACAGTGGATAGAAATTTGACAGAAAAAGAGAAGAGCCTAAGAGGCCAACTAGTACCTGAGCAGGAATCCTGACAGCATCTCTGTCAAAAGATCATCCACTTAGCTTTTCCTTGAAGACCTTTTGTGAAGAGGTGCCCACTACATCCTCCTGTGGCAGTCCATTCCACCTTCAGTTTGCTTTAATTGTATGGAAGTTTTTCCTTTTGGAACTCAAATCTATCTTTGTGCAACTTCTGTTACGACTTTTGGTCATTGTTTGTAGTTCTTTCTTCTAGGGCCAAGCAGAATAAATCTAATCCTCCCACATGACAATCCTTCAGCTGCTTGAAGACAGCTGTTCTAGATTAGGTGTGAGGAACCTGCAGCCTTGAGGCCACATGTGGCCCTTTGACTTGATCCAAGTTTTGCAGAACAAATCCTTTTATTAAAGGGATTTTTTCTGTGAAGTTTGGATTCAGTTAAAGGGCCGTACTTGAGGACCTAGAGGGCCACATGTGGTCTCAGAGCTGCAGGTTCCCCACCCCTATTCTAGATCTCCAGATTAAATTATATTTCTCTGAACTGATCCTTATGTGGCATGATATTGGGGGCATTTACCATTCTGGTCACCCTCCTGTGAACATTTTTCAGGTTGTTGATGTCCTTCCTAAAATGTGGGGTCCAGAATACAATACTCCTGATATACTCCACCCTTGGCAGACCAGAGCAGGAGTATCCTTTCTCTGTTTGTGGACGTTTTGCCAGTCTTGTTTCAGTTGAACATCCAGTTAGCTTTTTTGATCGCCATTTCACAATGTTGACTCATGTTGAACTTGTTCTACACTAAGATTGCTAGATTTTTTTTTTAGATAGGATGGAGTAGGAGGAGGAACTATTGTTTCATTATGAAACTATTTGTCCTACAAATGTGAATGTGTCACTTCTCTGTTCATCATGAAAAAGAGGGTGGGCATTCCTACTACTTGCTAATTGTTCAGTGCACCTCTTCTCTCTTCTTACTCCCTAAGTCAATTCCTGTCAAAGGTAGAGCTAGCCAAAGCTGACATTCCCCAAATGCAAAGAAAAGGGTAGGAAGCTTGTGGAATATATTGGTAAAAAGCATCCACAGCCTTGGAAATGGAGACAAAAAGGCTTTGGTTGTAAGCTCTTAAAGGATCCAAGACCATGGCTTTTATAACTCACTTTATGGAAGTACAGCATGTTACAGTTGGGTGTCATCTAGTCTAACCTCATTTCCCAGATGAGTAAACCTAGAGAGCTTAACTAATTTGCTTGAAGTTACACAGCTACCTAGTAGAATATCCAAGATCAAAACCTAAGACTTTGGCCTTGGAGTTCATGGTTCTGTCCATTATGTACTTTGCTGCTATAGCTAATATTTCCCAAACATTTTAAGCTATTAAAGCTTAAAAGAGCGCTAAGATTTTTGGGACACCTTCTTCAGTGCTATAAGGTTAGCAACATGCTTTATGTATATTACTTCATTTGATCCTAACAACCTTGTAAGGCAGATGCTATTATTCCTGTTTTAGAGATGAGGATACTGAGGATCAGTGAGGTTAAGTAACTTGCTTATGGGTATACAGCTGAGGTGGAGTTTGAGAATGGGTCTTCTTGACCCAAGTTTAACACTCCATCCACCATGTCATGCTACTGTATACCAGGAAAGTTATGTTTGCCTTAGACATTGAAATTTTTGTCCCTACCCAGCTGTATAGCCCCGATCTAGCTACTGTCTGAATCATCTTGGGTTTGGCTATTGCCAAGGCAGTGGGGGATCCTCAAGGCAGTAGTACTGAACTCTTTCCTCCTGTGTTGCTTTTTCTTCCTTTTCTTCCCTTTCCTTCCTGTGGACTGCTAAACTTTAACCTGAGGTGATGGCCTACACTGTCCTGGCTAGACCAAACAGAAGAGAAATGTGATTTTTTTTGATTGGGGAAGGGTTTCTTTCTACTAGTTCATTTGAAGCTTCCAAAGATGAAATTAGCTTTCCCCACATCTCTAGGAAACAGTCTGAGGGGAGATGAATTGAATTGAAAGTAAATTAAATTTAGGCTAGGTTTCAATAGGAAGGATTAGGGAAAGATTGTCAGTACCAGGAACCAAGAGACTGAGGAAGGCTATGGGATCTTCCCCCAGGGTGGGTGTGTGGTCTTTAAAAGGAGAGATTAGAATCTGTTCCATAACATGTAGGCCAGTAGAACGTGTAGGAGGGCATGTAGCAATTATTTATGATGATGTTGACTTTCTGGTATGAATTTTTGTAGGCAAACACAGAACCGCCCAAGCTGAGTCGAGATGAACAGCGGGGCCGAGGTGCCCTATTACAGGACATCTGCAAAGGGACACGGCTGAAAAAAGTGACTCATATCAATGATCGGAGTGCTCCAGTCCTTGAGAGTAAGTGACGGGTTATATCTTCCTGTCTGCAAACTCCTAGCCTCCCAAGGCTGGTTCTGAAGTTTGTCAGTGCTGTCTTGTTCCTACTTTAATTGCTGAAACCTGAGCTGACAGGTTTCCTTCCATTCTTTTTTTTTTTTTTTTTTTTTTTTTTGGCTAGGCAGTGGGGTTAAGTGACTTGCCCAGGGTCACACAGCTAGTAAGTGTTATGTGTCTGAGGGCACATTTGAACTCAGGTCCTCCTGAATCCAGGGCCGGTACTCTATCCACTGTGCCACCTAGCTGCCCCGTTTCCTTCTCTTCTTTAGGAAAGTTTTTTTTTGTCAGACTCCCAACTGCCTTGGCTCTTGTGCTTGTTGTACCTGTTAGGGACAGATCTTTATCGTCTTCCAGAAGAGATCCGTAAATCCCCATACGTGTTTCATATTTTACAGATGTTTCCGTGGGCCACCATTGTAGGCATGTGGGCAGATCTTTCATACCTGAATCTCCTTATTTGTTGTACCTTTTGACATCAGGGACTTTTAAAAGTAATGTTACTTTGAGTAGAGGGTGCAAGATTGGGGAGAATCTCTTTAATGTTCTTAAGCTTGTGGGGAGCTACTTGCCATAGTCAGGAATAGCTTTACTTCTTTTGAAAAGCTATGAAACAAGGCCCACCCTCTGTTCCTTGAATGAGGAAAATGGACGTATTCTTTCTCTTGCTAGGATATTTGCTTATTGTGGTGAGGACTGAAGAAAAGGGATTCTTTCTGAGGACTGCACCTGGATATCAAGTGAGCTTAGACTATGTAATAACTTGGAAGTGGTTGTATATTTTGCAGAATCCAAAGGCGGAAGTGGGGGTTATGGTTCTGGAGTAAATGCCCTACAGCCCAAGGGAGGTCTCTTCCAAGGAGGAGTTCCAAAACTCAGACCTGTTGGAACAAAGGACATTTCAGGTATCTGGTCAGTTTTTTTTTCTTCCCTAAACAAAGCGTATGTGTGGGTTTTTTGGGGGGGGAGGAGGTTGAAAGTAACAAAAAACAGTACTATGCAGTAAATTTGTTGATATTTCCAATCGGACTGAATAAGAACTCTGAACTAAAATTTTCTTTCTTGTTCTGTATATGAAGCAGTACCAGTTATAAGGTCTAACTAATAACTGGCCATGAAACTGTTTTTGTTGATTCTATTATTTCTGGTTTCTTTGCAGAGAACCTAGCTGGCAAGACAGTTTTACAGGTCTCTGGTTCCCGAGCCACTGCCCCGAGGCCCCCAGGGTCCACAGGCAATAGCCGTCCCCAAGATGATTCAGACAGTAGCCGAGCTTCCCCCCCAGAGCTGCCACGGATGCAGAGACCCTCTTTACCGGACCTATCCCGGCCCAATTCCACCAGCAGCACAGGCATGAAACATAGTTCTTCAGCTCCCCCGCCACCACCCCCTGGGCGCCGTGCCAATGCACCCCCTGCACCTTTGCCTATGCACAGCAACAAAGCCCCAGCCTACAACAGAGAGAAGCCTTTGCCGCCAACCCCTGGACAGAGGCCTCCCCCTGGCCGAGAAGGGCCTCCTGCACCACCTCCGATTAAGCCACCTCCTTCCCCCGTGAATATTAGGACAGGACCAAGTGGGCATAACCAGTCTTTGGCTCCCCCTCCTCCGCCTTACCGACAGCCCCCTGGTGTCCCCAATGGACCCTCAAGTCCCACTAATGAGTCAGCCCCTGAGCTGCCACAAAGACACAATTCTTTACATAGGAAGACACCAGGGCTCGTTAGAGGCCTGGCACCTCCCCCCCCCCACCTCAGTCTCACCTTCTTTACAGAGTAGTAGACCACCTCCCCCTGCCCGAGAACCTCCCAGTCGGGGAGCAGGTAAGTGCTTTTTAAAGCTTCTTTCTCATTTTTTTATTGTTTATCCAGAATGTCTTGTCCAGTGCCTGAAAAGTTGAGGAAATCTAGCTTAGCTTTTCTTCTTGATGGTTGATTGAGAACACTCTTTGTAGAGATGACTAAAGACAGATCCCCTCTAAGGATACCTCTAAGCAGGTTAGAAGTTGAGGGGTAGATTGGACAGAATGACTGTTCCTGGGGCCTCTCTAGTTCAAGCAATTTAAATTCCCACATGTTGCTGTTGGACTTGTGCTTAGAGCTCTCCATGTGAAAGTTGGCCAAGTGATACTGGCCTCGTAAAGCACAGCTTACAGAATTAGAACTATTTTAGCTAAGTTGGGTTAGTAAAAAGAGTAAGATGCTTCCTTTTAGGAGCCTATAATTTCAGGTAGGCACACTGTCTTAAAGCATGCAGCAGCCCTGTATGTTCCAGACCCTGTATCTATAGCTTTAATGTAAGTAGGGATTGATTTATATAGAAGACTTATCTACATGTAATCCCAAGCTGAATGGCTAAAATACCTGAGGAGGCTATGATGCATCTTAACCTAGAGCTTAGGTTTTTGTACCTTTTTTTCAGGTATACTTTTTAAAAACTGTCTTTTTCATGACCTTAACAAACGTGAACAAAGCAAAAATTTTCATATGCAAAGAACAGAAAAGGGAATTGTATATGTAAAACCATGAATTTCTATTATTTACAATTTTTTAAAAACTGTATTAAATTTAACACAGATTGGTACCAACGTTGTCCTGCTTGTCTCTGCCACTTTCTGGATTTTTTTTTCTGCTCTCTTCTGTGTAATTTTTTAATGTTTTATTAATGTTCTTTTTTTCCCCCCAATACTATTGCTACCCCTTAACTTCCCCATCTCTCAAATAGAAGCCTTTTTTTAGGAATCAGTGAGTATAGTCAGGCAGAACAATTCAGTGCACTGGCTCTGCCTATAAATGTATGTCTCACATCCAGCCTCTGACATCTCTGTTAAGAAATGGAATCATTATCAATCTTCTAAAGTCATAATTGGTTACTGCATGGATCAGAGCTTTGAAATCTTTTTATGTGATTTTGTTTAATATTATTGTGGTCATCATGTAAATTGTTCTTTTTGTGCTTGCTTAACTCTGCATTACTTTGTATAGGTCTTCCCAGATTTCTCTCAATCACTCATAGTCATTGTTTTTTTATGGTGCAATAATAACCTGTTACCTTCATATCAGTTTTTTAGGCATTCCTCTATTGGTGAGCATCTATTTTGCCACAACAAAGAGTGATGCTATAAATGTTCTTGTACGTCTGGACCCCTTCCCTCTGTCTTTGACTTTTAGGAAAGGGTTATGTGCCTAACGGTATCACTGGGTTAAAGTGACCTTGAGAATAGTTCCAAATTGATTCTAAAATAGGTGAATTCATAGCTCCACCAGCAGTGGATTAGTGTGCCTTTCCTTCAGCAGCTCTTTTGACAATTGTCATTTTCCTTTTCTCATCTTTGGATATGAGTAAAACTTCAATTTTAATTTACGTTTTTTATTATTAGCAATTTGCAATATTTTTCATAAAAATTTTTTTCAAATTTTTTTAAAAAACTGCTTTTTAGTTTAGGGTTTTTTTTTAAGTGCCAAGCAGAAAGGTAGAATTTGTGGGATCTTTTGTTTTCCTATAGAATCTGTTGGCTAAGAAGTTTGACAACCACTAGTAGTATGAGAAATCATCCATTTTACCAAAGTATAATCTCCTTGCTAACTGTCTACTTAAAGGATTTGTGTTTCCTAAATACTGCCATTGGAATAGGATTCTCTTTATTTAGAAAAGGAAAAACAATCCAAGCCCCACCTATTTTCTGTGTCCCTTACTATGGGAGCTCCTACCAAGCAAACAAGATTCCATTTCCTTCCATTCTCTGTTCTACCTTTTGAAAAAGCCAGGTAATTTTATTTTATTTTGTTTAGTTTTCTTTTGAGTCAGTTTAAAAGTGAGTTGGACAAAGTAGCGGGAAGCTGGGTTCCTGTTCCCTTGCCATTGTGCTAGCCCAGCTCTGCTTGTGTTTATGGGCTTGGGGATTACATTGCATCTTGGTGATGGCCACAAAGTTCTGTGACATGCAGTTGGCAGTGGGTTTCTAGAAACATACCAGTCGGTGAATAAGTAGCATATGTGAAATGCCTACTGTCTGCCAGACAGTGGACATTGAGGATACAAATGGCAAGTGTAAAAACACTCCAGCTCTCCAATAGCCTTACATTTTGGTGAGAAAGATAATGAATAAATCTGTCCTATACAGAATAAATAGAAGGTGACTAAATAAATGCAAAGGAATTAAATTCAGGCTAGTTTGAGATGGAGAGGGGAACTTAGCATTGGGGGGAGATGAAAAAGATTTCATAAAGAATGTGATTCTTGAGCTTCATCTTCAAGGAAGAGAGTTTTGTGAAGTGGAGGTGAGCAATGAATACATTCCAGCCTTAGAGGAAGACCAGTGCAAATGCATGGAGACAGGAATGAATGACATTTACCTAGTGCTTTTAAAACTTACAAAGCCCTTCACATACAAATAATAGTGGTAATAGCAATAATAGTAACCTTTTGAGGTAGGTACTACAGGTATTATAATTTTACAGATGAAGAAACTGAGTTTCTAAGAGGTTGCCCTGGGTCTGGTAAATGTCAGAAGTGAGATTTGAACCAGGTCTATTATTTTATCCTGTGCTAGGCTGCCTTATGTACCAAAAGAAAGGTGATTCCCCTCCCCCTTTATATTTTTAACTGTTCTTTTTTTATAGTATTTTATTTTTTCCAATTACATGTAAAGACAAGTGTTAACATCCATTAAAAAATTTTTTTTTGAGTTCCAGATTTTCTCCCTCACCTCCCCCCTTCCTAAGATAGTAAGCAATTTGATATAGGTTATATATGTACAATTATATAAAACATATTTCCATATTAGTTATGTTGTAAAAGAAGAAACAGACCAAAGGAAAAGAGCCATGTTAAAAAATTTTTTGAAGTGAAAATAGTATACTTTCAGTCTTCCATCAGTTCTTTCTCTAGATGTGAATAGCATTTTTCATCATGAATCCTTTGGAATTGTCTTGGATCATTGTATTGCTGAGAATAGCTAAGTCATTCATGGTTGATCATTGTACAGTGTTGCTGTGCAACAGTGTTCTCCTGATTCTGCTCACTTCACTTTGCATCAATTCATGTTAAGTCTTTCCAGGTGAAGAAAGGTGATTTTTAAAGGAGTGCGAGGTATATAGGCTGATTTAGAGGGAAGTGATGCTCAGGTACTTCTACAACATTAGTGTCAAACTCAAGTGGAAATGAGGCCACTAATCCATACATGAAGATCCCTGTGAGCCACATGTTGACTGTATTTTAAAATGTAATGGATTTTATTTTGTTTTGTTTAATGTTTTCCAATTACATCTTAATCTGGTTCTCCACCCTGGGGAGTGTTACACAAACTTAGAAACTTAGAAAGTTACAAACTTCTTGTTTGATACCTCTGTTCTATAGGAAGCCTTTCCCAACCCATCTTAATTTTAGTGCCTTCCCTCTTTTATTTATTTCTTCTTTATCTTGTATATGGCTTATTTCTATATACTTATTTGCTTGTTGGCTCTCCCCCTAGATTGTGAGTTCTTCGAGGGCAGGGATTGTTTTTTGTATCCCCAACACTGTGCTTGGCATACAGTAGGTGCTTAATAAATTTTTATTCACTGACTGCTTGCTTCACTTTGCGTCAGTTTCTGTACATCTTTGTATGCTTCCTTATATTCATCTTCATCTTTTCTTTCATTGTAGTAATATTCCATTACATTTATGTAGCTATTCCCCATTTGAGGAGCTCTACTTTGTTTCCAGTTCTTGGCTGCTACCAAAAAAAAAAGTGCTCCTATAAGTATTTTGGTGTATTTGGAAAATTCCTTTTCCCTTTCTGTTCCCCTTTCCTTCCCTTCCCCTTCTTGGCCTATGGGATCTCTCAGTCACAGGGTATAGATATTTTAAGTACTTTATTCATTTAATTCCAAAATGGCAAAATGAAGTAAGCAGTCACATAGTAAATGTTTACTGTGTGCCAGGCTAGTAACCACTAGGAATACAAAGAAAGGAAGAAACAATCCCTGCCTTCATGACATTCACACTCTTAATGTATTTGAAATAGTTCACAGCTTCACCAAAATATTAGCATGCCTTTCTTCCCTAATCTGTCCGTTATTGATCATTCCTAGTTTTTTCATCTTTGACGACTTACTCAGTGTGAGAGGTGAAACTTAAAAAGTTTGAGTTTGGAGCATTTTTTCATATTTTTAAAAATTTGTTGATCTATTTTGATTTCACATTGCCTAAATTTCTTCTTTATCCCTCCCATCTCCCCAGAGAGCCATTCATTATAACAAAGAATTTTTATTTTAAAATGATAAAAAGAGAAAGAGGGGGGAAAAAATTAATAAAACCAACCCATAACACTGAAAAAACATTACAGTATATGTATAACACACCTGTAGACCCCCTTACATCTGCAAAGAAGTTGGAGCAAGTGTCTTCTTATAACTTTTCTTTGGGGCTAAGTTTGATCTTTGTGATTTTTGCACCATTTGTTTAAATTTTTTTTTTAAATTTTTTATTTTAATATTCTTTTCTTTTCAAATGTTGAATTCCAAATTTTCTCCCTCCCTCCCACCCTCTTCCTTACCCACTGAGAAGGGCAAGCAATATAACATCAGTTACACATGTGAAATCATGCAAAACATTTCCATATTAGCCATGTTTTTTTTAAAAAGCAAGAAAAATAAAGTGGGAAAATTATAGTTGGAGTTCATCAGTTCTCTCTCTGGAAGTGGTTAGCATTTTTTTATGATGAGTCCTTTGGCATTGTCTTGGATCATTGTATTGATCAGAGTAGCCAAGTCTTTCACAGTTGATCCTCCTTACAACATGGCTGTTATTGTGTGCAGTGTTCTCCCAGTTCTTCTCACTT